TTTGGTGTATATAGATGGTCTGATGGTTCATCTTATCATGGAACATTTTGTAGTGGAGTCAGACATGGTAAAGGCTATTGGCTAAAGAATGAAGATTCTTAAAATTATGAGAGTTATGATGGACAATATGTTAATGATTTAAAATAAGGATGTGGTGTTTATAGATGGTCAAGTGGTAATGTATATGAAGGTGAATTCTTTAATGATCATAGACATGGATTTGGAGAAATGAGATGGGCAGATGGTTCATATTATAAAGGTTAATTTCATAATGGTTAAATGTGTGGAGAGGGAGAATTGAAGAGAAACAATAAACCAATTATTCATGGTTACTTTGACAATAATAAACTAGTTAAAGAATAAAATTAGAAGTCAATTCCTAATACTATTAATTAGAGTTAAAACAATAGTTTTGATGGTAAAAGAAATTACTATTCTCTGTAATAATCTTTTAATCAAAATTAAAATGCTTAACGGCATCAGAAATCTCATTTTAAGTCTGAATCTATTGAACCCATCTCTAAATAAACTAAAAGAAATTGTAATACTTCATTGGATGACAATCAAATCTAATAACATTAAAATAAATTTAAAATTTCTATTGATTTTGATGATCATTAAGGATTTTCTACTTAATAAAAGTTCAAAACTATAAGTACAACAAATCGTCCTTTTTAAGCTCAATAAGAGGGTTTATTATAAGTGACTAATAGAGCATAATCAACAAAAAAAGTTATAATTGAAAGTGTTAAATTTAAGAGAAGCTAAAATTCTTTTCGACTATAATCATTAAACTAATCTACAAGATAAACTTAAAATTCTCTTCCAAAATAATCAATAAATTGATTTGTGAAATATATATTATGTATTCATTTTTCCATAAATATGAAATAATTATTAATAGAAGAAATACGCATTATATATGTTAAGTGAAGAAAATGCAAAATTTAATTAAAAATTTTTCAAAATCATTTCAAAACACCATTTTTACAAAATATAAATTCAAAATTAAATAGAAAAATAGAGGGAGATGTTTAAAAATAACAATTTCTTATCTTAATCTTTCTAATCTTTATTGGTTTATATAATTGTGTTTTCCCTTTATTTAAGTATGCAAATTACTTTAATGTCTTATGTCTATTTTTTCTATTTGTAAATTATTTAAAAAATCTCTTTTCATACATCTCTGATTGGTTGAGTTTGTTAAAAGATTTGAAATTTAATTCAATAAAGTCATCAGATTCTATAAAACAACCTCTATATAAAGTATGTTATTTTATATGTGCACAATCGAATTTAAATATATACCTTTTAAATATTAGATTTTTAAAGGACTTATAGATATGAATTATGAAATTTTATATATTAATACTCTATTGATACATAACATAAGTCAAAATTTTTAATCTGAATTTCCAAAATCTTTGTGTATAGATCTTTAGAGTTCAATTATTCTAAGTGCTAAAGTTTTCTTGTAATTTAAAACTGTTATTGAGTTTTCCTCATAAATATTTAATTCAATTATCCTTTTTTTACCGATTTGAGTCGCTAACATAGTTTATGCATCAAAATTCATTGGATTATTAAATAATTATTTTCAATCAATTTTAGATATACACTTAATTAAAGCAAATACACTAACCCGAATATTATTATTTCAATTAAATTTCAATTATCATAAAATCATTTAGAATAACAAATGAGTGATAATGAAGAATACTTTGAATTTTACATCTTCTAAATATAAATTATTAAATAAGAAAAAAATTTTTTAAATATTTTGATAAAATATTTAATTCAGATATTTTAATTTTGCTTGAGAAAAATATATCAGTAGAGAATAATAATTATAAGATTCATAAAGTAATTTTTTACTTCTTAGAATTAATATCATAATAATTTATTCAGCCTAAATTTAGTATTATAAGTTTAAAACTATATATATTATTTTGAAAAATATAAAAATAAATTCTCAAATTAACATGAATGAAGTATATATTATATCTAATTTTGAAGATTTTATTGATTTTCTTTATAAAATAATAATAATACTTTATTAAAACAGATCCGATTATTAAAATTATTTTGATAATAAAATTCAAACCTTAATTCAATATAAAATAGTAAGTTTATAAAGTTTATATAATGTTAAATGATATATTTTTAAAGCATAAATATAATACTTAAAATTATTTAAATTTTGTAGTTATTTTTAATTATTTTATTTAATTTTATTGAAATAAATTATATTTAACGATGAATTCAACACTTCGGCCTGATTAGATTATTTATTTTGGAACTTCTAATACACCAAAAATTCCATGTCGATTTCATGAGGACTATTTTATTCAAAATTTTTGCAAGAAACAGTAATAAAATTGAATAATATTTTTAGAGAATGCAGTTTACCAATGTGTCCTGAATGTATAAAGATTCATTCAGAAGAACATGAACAAGAAAGAGTAACAAGTGATATTGATCTATTCTCTAATTGCTTGACTGAATAATATAATAAGTCATTAGAATATCTTAATCTTTGGGCAAATGATGTTTAAGAATCCAGTAATTTTTCAGAAGAGGTAGAAAAGGCGCAAAAAGTAAGTTATATTCATATTATTTATAGTTTTAACTCTAAAAGTTTTAGGAAGCTAAGTAGCAATTTTATAAGACTATAGATGATTATTTTAGAATGCTTGAATCAACGATTATAAATGAAACTTAAAAATCCACTTAGGATTTAATTAAATTGGTTAGATCCAGACATAGAATTGAATATTTGGAATGGAAAACCTTACATGAGAATTTACTTAAACTTAATTCAGAAAAAGTAATTAATACTTATTAAATATAGTGTTTACCTCCATTAATATAAATATATTCAGATCCTAGATAAACACCTTAAGCAATATATTAAAGAAATCATTAGGAACATATTGAATAATTGAATAAATTAAAGCTAAATATTAGATAAGTGGTTGTTAATGATAATCTAAACTAAATTTATGTATTATTAAAATAATACATAAATTTAACACCTATTGTATAAGATTCCTAAATTTAATAAATATAAATAGCAAATACTGTTTAACCAATCATATAAACTTAACCAATAATATAAACTTAACCAATAGTATAAACTTAACCAATAGTGTAAACTTAACCTATTGTAAATTAAGCAATAAATAACAATAAATATTAATCAAGAGTTATATAGCCTTTTAGTGCCATCAGAGAATATACACCTTTATAGCCTGTTTTGTATTAATAACCAGCAATGGTACCAATAGAACCTTTACAACTTTATCCTTAGCAGTTTTATCATCAAAATCCTGTTTTATAAGAACCTATGCCAATGCCAGTTGTGCCAATTTAATAATCAACTCCCCCTTAAATCATAAGATCTCCTAAAAAACTTGTACAACCAATTGTTGAAGCAGGGGTTTTAAATGGACAATTAAGAGAGACAATGGCACAAAGATATTATGATTAAATGTTAAAAAATGAAATAAAATGATTTATAATATGAATTATTTTTATTATCAATATATGATATTTTTATATTATCACAATTTATTGTCTAATGATTTTAGACTCCCTAATATTTGTAAAAAGAGTGTTCAAAAAAAAAAATGGTTACTTTTATAATCTTTAAATATATTATTATTATTTTAATAATCTATGATCTTGAAATCCGTTATGTCATTAGAGTTGTTTTATTATTAATTCTATAAAATCTTAGGATATTTTTAAATTGATTATTGTAGCAAGTCTAAATTTTAAATTTAATTAATAACATGCTAGTAAAAAAAGTCCATTTAATCTTATGAAAATGAAAACAAAAATTAAAAATCTTGAGAGGTTAATTTTGATTTAAAATTAGACGACAATATTCATAATAATATATTTTCACTGTTAATAGAAACTCTAAATTTATAAATATATGGCTTTATAAAATACACAAAAATTTTATTTATATCAATTTAATAGGGTAAATAATAATAAAATAACAATTGGAAATTCATATAAATCATATTATATAAATGATAAATTAAATTTACTTTAGAATTATTCTTTAGAAACATAAACAAGAATAAAAAGTATTAAAAAGATAATGATAATAACAAAAATTAATTATTTTATACTAGTAAATCTTGATTTATATATTATAATCAATGATGAAAGTCAATTTAATAATAGGGTTAAGTTAGATTAATTTTAAATTGAATATATAGTAGTAAAATAAGTTTTAAAATTGATTTGATAATTCAATACAAAAATTTATATATCTATATTTATTTTATTTTAAGTTAGCTAAATAATAAAAATTTTAAATTATTTATATCACTATGAAAAGTAAGGACATGGATGCTCCTCCACTTAGTGAAGATGAATTAAATGAAATTTATAATTGGGTTGATACAGTACCATTATCAAGACCAAAAAAACATATAGGTAGAGATTTTGCAGATGGAGTTCTAATTGCAGAAATAATTTAACATTATCTACCTTAAATTATTGATATACATAATTATAGTATGGCTCATTCTGTTTAATAAAAATAATATAATTGGAATACTTTGAATGCTAAAGTAATATAAATTATAATTTATAGGTATTTAGAAAAATGGGTTTCTAAATAACTTAGAAAGATATTGATGCAGTTATTTAAGTAATTCCTGAAGCAATAGAAAGAATCTTAAAAGTAATTTAAGTAAAATTAGATATGTTTTTGGATCACTAAGAATAAAATTAAGTGCAAAAATACGAAAAACCAAATGAAATTTAAAAAAATTAGAATTAAGTTAACAACCAAAAACCAGTACACAATAATAAATAAAATGATAAAGATTTAATTATTTAAGATTAAAAGGAAACAATAGAAATACTTGAACTTAAAATATAAAAGCTAGAATAATTAGTAAAATTAAAAGATAGTAAAATATAATAGTTAACTTAAAAGATATAATAAGTAGGAATAAAATGATATAGTTACTCAGATATCATTCACATAAATTTTAAAAATAATTATTTTCTGTGTCACTTTTACTACTATTTGTGTCACTTTTATCAAAATAATTTTTTTAATCATCTGAATATTACTAAGTTCTTTTTATATTATTTTGCATTTCTTCTTCATCTAAAGTTATATCTTAATGTTGATTTAACATTTTCTAAAAAATTGACATTCTTTATTTTTTTATGGGTTCTTATTATTCTAAATTTTTTATAATTAATGGAGAACTTTAAGGAGTTGTATTTGGTGTTCGTCTTTATTTAATTGAATTCATTTCTATACTGATTTTTTACAGCATAGCATTACCTTTATCATCTTCCAAATTAGATTGATCAACTTTTGAAGTTGTATTGAATGACATGGTGCTGGATTTATTGGATCGCCTCTTAGGTTTTTGATAAAAATGCTCTTATTTTTCTAAGGGATCAGTTTTCATCTTGAGACCCATTTATTTGAGATATGTGACTATAATTTACTCTTTTTTTATCCATTCATTTTCAGGATGCTAATTACTTAATATTAACATTTCAAAAGAATCATCAGTGTGTTAATCTGAATTATATAGATTTTATCCATCTTTATAGTTTGTATTCTACTAATTAACATTTTATTCAGCTTTAATAGTGTTTTCTTCTTAATTAATTGTTGTTTCACATGACAAATATTAACTTATATTCATACAAAGTAAAACTCTGAATGATGAATGAATTTTTATATATTTATTAATATCATTAAATCTTACACAATCAATACTGAAAATTATTAAATAAATGACATCTTTTATGAATGAAATACAAATTTGACCTTTGTAAAAATATTATTAAATTCAAAATGCTAATATTTATAAATAAGAAGTCTCTCAATTATAATATATTTAAAATACTCAAAACTTAATCTATTTACTTTATAATATTTGTAAAAAGAATGTAAATATTATTATTTTAAATTACTTAAATTGAAATAATTTAAATTACAAAAATATAGTAATTTTATAAGATTTTAAAGAGGTTAAATAGAATATTCAAAGGTCATCTGATGGTTCAACTTCCCATCCTGTATCTCCGAATCTTTCTTATATTGCTAAAAGGGACTAAACTTTTATTTTAGCATTATTTGGACTTGGTTAATTAATAGAACTATTAATTGTATATTAAGTCTCTGCTCTGTGTTTTCTAACAAGTTTCCTTTATGGATAAATCGACTTTTAAAAAGGGAAAATCAGAGTATCACATGAATCTTTTTAAGAAGGAATTGACTGAAAAATTTGATGATTACCATAGTTAATATTATCTAATTGCTTTGAGTATTTTTAGAAAATAATTTTTGATGACATTTAATTATTATCATCAGCAATTGAACTACATCTTGTTTTTATAGTATCTAAAAATTTGATTTTAGAAGTAGATAGTTTCTTTTCTGACTCTAATTAGTTTTTAGCAAAGATTAAACTTCGTTTCTTCATTTTAATACGATCTGATTCTTCAGGCAACTGATATTTCATTTTAAGTAATGCCATTCTAGTTGATTTTTTAAGCAGCTCTAAATTGATAGCACAATTAAATCTAAATCCTATTGTCTTTTGATTTGGAGAAACCTTATTGCTTTTCTAATTCATTGTTGAATAATATTTATTTTTATATTATTACTATTAAAATAAACAAAAACACCATATTTTTGAATCAGTTTCTTATAAATCTATCATTTCATTGATACATTAATTTTTCTAAATTTTGTTTTTACTACTTATTCTTAAGCTATATTTTTCAATAAAGATTTATTATGTAATAATTCCATATTTGTCATTTTTTCATGAGCACTTTTATTTCTACTTTCTTCAATTTATTTCTTAATATCTTCTTAGTTTTATTTATAATTATTTTTGATATACTAAAATACATTACAATAATATACAAGTTATTTTTCTTTTTCTTTTTATGAATAATTCATATGTTCTAATTATTATGAAAGTAATAATAATTTTTATTCTTCATCTTCTGATAATTTTTTTTATTATTTCTATTAAATTTACAATTACAATTATTATTTGACTAATTCCATTTTTTCTTTTTCTTTTAATTTTTTATATTACTCTTATTATTTATCATATTCTTATTGTTTTTTTAATTATTCTAACATTTATTTTCCTTCATTTTCTTCATTTTCCTTTTATTTAGATAAAACCTAATGGCTATAATTACTCATAAATTATTTAATTTTTTCATCCCTATTCTTCTTTTATTATTCTCTTCTTTCATCATCTTATATCATTTTCTATAATTATTATTATTACAATTTAGTATCAATTTCTTTTTAGAGTTTAAGTTCCTCTTATGCCTTTAAATTATTATATATATTACTTTATAACGTAATTATTCATTTTCTTTCAAAATCTATTAAAATTTATCTTTTTATTCTTATCTTTTTTTATTTAATTCTTAAGACTCTCTACTTATTTCATTTTTTAATTATTAGAGCATTTCATCATCTTATAATTTTGATTACTTTTAACTTTCTCTTCTAATCTAATCAATTATATGAATTACTTTTTATATTTTTCTTAATAAACTTATTCATCTCTTAATTTCCTTTCTTCTAATTATTTAATTTTTATTTATTCCTTTTTCTATTTTTCATATTATTCAAATTCCTATTTCCTTTATTGATTTAATTAATTAAATTTAGCTTCTTTTAATGCCTCTTCTTTTTTAATCTATTCCTTTTCTTTTAATTATTTATCTAAATCATCTCTTAATTTTTGTCTCAATTATTGTTCCCTCTTTTTTTTCTCATCTTATTCTTTCTAATATAAAGCTGTATCATGTTTAATAATAGCAGCCCATTCATCTTATTCATCATCATCCAATTAATAAACAGATTTTTATTTATTTTCAGATGTCAATGAGTCTAATCTTGGAATTTCTATAGGATGATTATCTGTTTTTTGATTTTATTACTCTTATCCTATAGTAATAGTTTTAGTAATTTATTTATTTTCATTATTTTAGTTATCTTCATTATTTTGTAACTATTGAGTATTAGATTGTTATTTTAAGGATTTTATTATTGACTCTTTTTCCTATTGTGTTTTCTTGATTGCTTCTTATATATCTGCTTTTAATGCTCTTACACAACTTTCATTAAATGATGAATATTTAGAATTATAATGATGTACATAACATTTAATTAGCTTATTAAAATTTATTAAATACTTCGCTATCTATTGGTTTAGTACAGAATTCTTTTATTAATTTATTCAGAATGAATTCTGATATATTAAAAGATTACTTGAGTTTGTCTTATTTTTTTATTTATTTTGGATACATGAATATAAATATTTTAATATATTGAAAGAATATATTTAATAAAAAGTATGAAATTTACAAATACTAAAAAATCATTGTAAATTTATCAAATTTTCAATAAGATTTTCAAAATTCTTTGATACATTTTCAAGAATTTTAATTTAATCTGCAGCATAATGTCTTTTTTCATTCTCAACATTTTTGTGTGTAATCTTCATTTAAATTAAATTACTACCAAAATTTTATTCTTCATTTATGTTTTAGTATGATATTTGTAATCCATTAATTTCTTTAATTTTGCTTAGATATCTACATATATCTTCTTTTTCAATCTAATATCAATTTATTGATCTAAAGGTAATTTATATATTTGAGGATTCTCAATAGGATTTTCATCATTTTAACTTTTTATTACACCAAGATCTGATAAAATGAAAGGATTAGTTTTATATTTTATATCATGAAAAATATCTTAAGGATGTATTTTTTTATTTCTTATAAAATCAAAACATTTACTTTCTGATTTAACTATTAATTTATTTATAATAAATTTATACATGAATGTTTTGGAGTATAAACTTCTACTTCAAATTCTTAAGTTGATAAAATCTCTTATTAAATTCTTAGACCATCAATTTACATTGTAGAGAATAATTTAATATGAGGATTTGTTTCAAAAATGGAACTTCTTCTTGTTGATGAGACCTTTGATTCATTAAAGATTCTAGGATTGATCATTGTAAGAGATTCATTCTGTATTTCTTATTATGAAATTGACAATATATCTTAAGGAAGAGGTAAATTTAATCTATTTAAGAGAGGAGTATTTATGGTTTCAGCATAATTTCTATTGAAATTTTTATTTAAGAAAACTTTAAGTGTATCTGAACTCATTTAACGTAATGGAGAACTTTCTACTTCATAGTCATATGTAATAGCTCTTTCATGATAATATTTAGTCTTTGATAAATAAATGATATACTTTTTCAATGTCTCCTAGATAATAATAACAAACACCTAATTTTGAGTATACTTCATTTTCATAATCTAAATCATTATTTAACCATGAATATTGTAAACATTTTTTAAAGAATTTAATTCCAATCTCATATTATTACATTTTAATTGAACAATTTCCAAGTCCAATCAAAGATTTCATTTTATATTTATCCATTGTTTATTTTGCATAATTAGCCATAATTCTTGTTTAATTATGATAAAAGATGGCCCAATCAAGTTATGATGTTAATTCAAGCATAGATGCAGCAAAACTAAGAGTTTCAATTAATGCTATTGGAGATAAGGTTCCTATAGAAAATGTTAAAATTTATTATGAAAAATCAATTAACTAATTGAAATGCAATTATTACTTAATTTTCAGCTTTGGATTTGACTAAATCAATCAAATGTTTTTGTTACTTGTAAAGATAAAGTAAATAATTCTTTAATCCAATATTAGATATATTCAATATTTTAAAATAGATAACTTGTTATTTAACTTAAGGATCAAATTTCATTCTTCTTTTCACTTCATTAGAATCAATATTTTCTTATGTAACAATTAATTATTTCTATTGAGATCTACTTGCCTATTGAAATAGTCTATTTTTCGGTACTGGAATAGCAGTTCTATTAGTTTCTTAAGGGGATGATTCTTATTTATTGTCTAAACTGAATTAAGAGTCTACTCTTCTTATAAGATTATTTCTGCTTGAATGAAAAGTTGATCTCATTTTAATTTGACCTCTAAATGCAGAGTTAGAACCTGAATCATATTCTGCTTCATTCATTCTATGTGTAGAATATCCAGTTCGTTGAGTTGTGTTGTAAGTTGTTCCACTTTATAATCTTGATTGTTGTGATAACGACTATTATGAAGTTTGTGATTGTTTTATAAGCACATTCTTTAATCTATCCAAAATTATTCACTTATTCATACTTTTAAGAGTCTACTAATTTGAATTAGACTGCACTTCTGAGTCTTTTTTCTTAACTATCATTAGTTTTTAATTTAAGTGCAGATGAAATTGGCCTCATCCTTTTTAATTAAATTATATTAATAAATTAGTTATATATTGATAATAACAAATATGATTTCAAAGTACAATTTATCAAATGATCTTAAAAAATAAATACTTTTCTCTTTAAGAAAACAAGAATTATAATGATACATACATTAATGATTCGAAATGATATTTATTTTTTAATTAACTCAAGAATTAAATCATTAAGGGATACTTTTTACTTAAGAATTAGTAAGATCCTTTTAAGAAATAATTCAAAAAAATCGTAAAGGTATAAAAGGAAATATAACCTTAAAAAAAATATTAAAAATTTTAACAAAAAATAATAATTGGAAAAGAATAATACAAAGATTTATATATTCAGATGCAGAAGATAAATCAAAGAAATTTTATTAAATTTTAATTGATATCCTTATCAAATTAGAGTAAGATAAATAAAAAATATTGAAAATAATTATAGATATTAAATTACCAAATTAAAATATAAGGAAGATGGAAGAATTATTATTGAATCATTTTTATTATTAATTAAATTATTAATTATAGATTACTTATTTATTAATATTGATTTATAAATAAGTATTAAATTAATTATAAATTCTTAAGCTTTTAGAATAATTTCAATCAATATTATATCATTTAAGAGTTTGTTTGCATTTAGGCTTATAATTAAATTTAAAAATTTGAATTTTTGTTTTAAAAATCACTTTTTTTTAATTATTAATTTAGTTTTTAGTTTTTTATTTCCTATGCATATTTTGATAATGATTATTCATTTAAAACTTATCTACAACTGGGACAGGATTCATTCTATTTATCTACCACCCATGTTTGCAAACATTTATCATGAAATATATGACCGCAGGGTGTCACTAAACATATTGAATCTTTCTAATAATCTTGTAAGCAAATAGAGCAAGATTAAGATGAACTAGATTTAAGATTTTTTTCTGATAAGGGATAATGTTGATCTAAATCTTTCAATTTTATTTTTTTCAAATACTCATTAAATTATTATAAGGTAATTCCCTATTTTTTATTTTCTTCATCTAACCCAATTTAATTTGGCCTTACTCCTCTACGTTTTTTGATTATACAAACTATAATCACTATCAGTATAATGACACCTAGTGGTACAAATACGTAAATAAGTATTTAATTAGTTTACTTTTCTGAATCTTCAGATGGAAGACTGATATTAATATTAAACTAACATGTACCAGGAACAACAATTGTTAATAATAGGCGATCAAATCTAGATAATATTAAAGTAGTACCTTAATAAATCTGGATTATTATTCAATTCAGAAACATCTATAATCTCTGATTAATATATAGATTAAGGATTAGAATAAAATGAGAAAGACTAATTATTAAATTATTAAGTAGCTACTCCATGAATATAGTTTTCAAACATTATATATACAAAGATTTAAGAATGTTCTGATAGGAACATATTTGAAATTTCTAAATCTAGCTAAATTTTTTCTAACTAAGTCTTTTATTAAAAATAGAAATATTATGTTCCACTTATAAACATATTTTCAATTTATTTATCCATAATTATTGGAATTCCTGTTTTGGAACAATCCAAATCAATCCTATCATCTTCGCATGCACATATACCAAAATTGCAAAAACCTAAAGTATTTGATGTACAATTGTTAGGACATGGAATAATATTATTCTTACTTATTTTTAATTTATATTTATATGTTATCTCTTCATCTCTTTTTTAAATATTAATCTAAAATCTGTCACCTTAATTATATGAATATGCTGGTATAAGTATATTTTGATAACTCTTATGAAGATAATCACCATTTAAATCAGCATATGTTGCTAATATTGTGTTATTTTCATATTTTGAAGTTTGCCTGTTTTAAGTTATTGTAAAGGACAAATTCACATGGCCATCTTTAGGAGTTTCAAATATTAATCTTTTATATGACATTATAATTACTCTATAAAAAGATATTTATAAGTATCAGCTGATTCAATTTAAAAGAACATAATTCCATTTTCTATTTCTTGTATTACATAATATTCAAATTCCTTCAAATGATATATTTATCCTTTCTTCGTGTATTCATTATTAATGTTTAATTTGATCATTCCTAGAGTAGTTACAAGAAAGTAAAATAAAAAGAGAATCATTTTCTCTTTAATAAAATATTATGTTTTATCAAAATTAGAATAATTGCCTTTTAGATATAATTGATTAATATAAAATTCTATTTAATTTAAAAACTCAGGCTCAAGTTAAACATCTTCCATTCTAAAAATAGTTTAATTTAAATCAATATAAAGTTATTTAATATAATTTATGAGTTTTTTATTGTTTGAAAAAATTTGATTATCTCGTTTTTATTTTTAAATTCTGATTAATAATATTTTAATTATTATAGAAGTTTGATCTACTTATTCAAACTATATATATTCAGCTAATTCACAATATTATTACTCAACTTTATAATACTACATCATATATAATAGCATATAGAAAGTAGAGAATACTATATTTAAGTGAATTTTAGTTCAAATTTAAACTAAATTTTAATAGTAAAAGATTAAAATAAATATAATTTAAATTATAGTATAGAAATATAATGAATATAATAATTGATAAAAATATCAATTTAAGCAGATGAATATAGAGTTAACATGTAATTCATCTTGTCTTAATTATCTATTAGGCTATAAAATGATTAAGAATTTAAAAAGTATTGGATTAATATTAATAAATATTTTTGAATAATACTTAAATTTCAGTTCACAAAATTACACCTAAGTTTTAGTTAAAAAAATTTCGATAGTATTTAAGATGAGACATAACAAGGAAATATTAATTTATTTGTTTGTTAATGATTTAAAAACCTCAAGATATATTGCTAAAGACTAATTATCATGAAATTAGTTTACTTCCTGGAAAACCAATTTATGAATATGAATTAGAAATTTAAAATTCAACTCCAGAATTAATTTAAGCAGCATTAAAAGCACATAAAACCATTTTATTAGAAATGCTTAGAAATTATATGAGTATTGATAATAAAATATACTCTCCTAAAATAATAGATGGAATTGAAAAAGGATAATCAAAAATATTGGGAATAGATGAAATCAATTAAGAAGCATAACATATAGTTTCTATTAAATTAATTGGTCGTTTAAGTGAAAATCATATAAGCAAGAATTAAATAATTGCTAGATTAATAAAATAAGTAATTAGAAATTAATTCTAAATGGTTTCTATTGGGAAAATAGGTAGTAAACTATTTTGGAATTAAAGAGCAGTTAAATAAAAAGAGAACAATCTAGAAGTAAATATATTTATTTAAGACTTAGATTTGGCCAGGAGTAGAATGCGTTTATTAAGCTAGTAAAATATAAAATTTTAAACCTAAATTAATAATTGATTGTGCATTTAGAATACTTCGTTATAGATCTGTACTAGAAGAATTGAATTTATAGAAACAAAATATTGATATTCTTATTGGTTAGATTGTGATGACTACTTATAATAAAAAGTTTTATTAAATATCTGGTATAGATGTTTAAATGAATCCAAAATCTACATTTTTAAATGAAAATGGTGAAACAAATACTTTTGAAAATTATTACAAAACAAAGTATAATTAAAATATCAATTCTAATTAACCTCTTTTAAAAGCAATTGTTAGAGGTAGAAGAGATTAAAATGAAAAAGAAATATTTTTAATACCTTCTCTTTGTTAAATGACTGGATTAACTGATGAAATGAGAAATGTAATTAGATTTATATATTTTAGGACTTTAAAGCTATGAAAAATATATCAGAAATAACAAAACCATCTGCAGAAGTAAGAATGAGAACTGCATAAGACTTTATTAAATAACTTTAAGATACTAAAATTATTAATAAAAAGGATAATTCATAAAAGGAACTATTGAATGAATGGGGATTAGAAATAAAAAAAGATTGTGTTTAAGTATAAGCTTATAAATTAGATCCTGGAAATATGTTAATGGGTGGAGGATTACGTTTAAATTTAGGAGATAACAACACAAATTTAGATAGATAAACTTAAACTTAAATGTATTAAACTCCTACATAAAAATTACTATTGGGAATTATATATATTAAAAATAATACAGGATAAGACGCAATGATTAATTTCATACAAAACTTTGATTAAGCTAGATAAGAATTTTAGTTTGATGTTTTTCTTAAACCACTAGTGGCTGAAATGTACGATAACAGAGAAGAAGAATTGGAAAGAGCATTACAAGAATTAAAGGGGTAAGCTGATAAAATGAATAATAAGATAAACTTTTTATTATTTTTGTTACCAGGATAAAAGAAAAAAGCAAGATTATACAAAGCTTGTAAAAGAATATCTATGGCCAAATTTGGTTGTGCTTCTTAAGTAATTATAGAAAACACCTTAAAAAGAAATACAAGATCTATTGTAAATAAGATTTTAATTTAATTAAATGCAAAAATAGGAGGAACTCCATGGGCATTAGATGGTATTCCTAGTATATTTACAAATTAACCTACAATGATTTGTGGAGTTGATATTTTTAAAAAGACTGGAAGAAAAAGTCAATTAGCCTTTTGTAGCACAATTAATAGATATTTTAGTAGATATTATTCTTAAGTTGTAACATCAGGTGAATTTTGTTAACATTTATAATAATGTTTGAAGGCTGCTTTGATTGCTTTCAAATAAGAATTATAAATTTATCCTAAGAATGTTATCATATATAGAGATGGAGTTAGTGATGGTGAATAAACAACTGTATTAGGAACTGAATTACCATAATATAAACAAGCTTTAAAAGAATTAGAATTAAATGATATATCACTTACTTTGGTTATCTGTAACAAAAGAGTTTCTGCAAAATTCTATACTGGAGGTTAAGGTAGAGCAGAAAATCCACCTCCAGGAACTGTAATTGATAATAAAAACATTACGAATGAAGATTCTATAAAATTTTATTTAATCTCTTAATTGAGTAGATAAGGAACTGTTACTCCAACTCTCTATAAGGTTCTTTATTCAGATTTACCAGGTATTTATATTTTATAATAAATAAGGTATTGAGTAAATGATTAAATTAATGACATTCAAATTATGTTGGTTGTTTTATAATTTTACAGGGTCTATAAAAATACCAGCACCTGTTCGTTATGCACATTGTCTTAGTAATTTTATTGGAGATAATTATGATGATAAGGATAAAATAAAATTTCTACCACAATAAGACTTAATTTTTAAAAAAGTGCTATTTTATATTTGATTAATATTATTGTATATTTATAATAATTGATGATAAGGCCATTATCTGAATATTAATAATGTTACTAAGAAATTAAAATAATTGGGAGAGGTTAATTTGGTAATAAATAATGATTAATCTTATAGGAATTGTTTATTTAATATAGGAAAAGTCAACTTTAAAAGAATTTGCAGCAAAAAAAATAAATGGAGAATGTTCCAATACAGAATTAGATATCTTATTAAAATTGAAACATCCAAATATTATTAATGTTTATGAATGCTTCAAAGATCAAAAATCAATAATTATTATTATGGATTATTGTTAAAGTACAAATTTATTAAATAAAAATAGAGGGAGATCTATGGAATATGATTTAATATAGAATATTAGAAGGAAAGAATAGAGGATATACTTAGAAGGTAATTGAATAATGGCTTGTTTAATTACTTATGGGATTAGCTTGCATACATGAAAATAATGTTATTCATAGAGATTTGAAGAGTTCAAATATTTTAATTAAAGAGGATGGACAATTAAAGATAGCTGATTTTGGAGTAGCTAAAGTAATATAATAATTTATTACGAGATTTTATCAGAAGATAAAATGGCTAAGACAATTACTGGTAGTCCATTTTATTTATCACCAGAAATCAGTTAAGGTTAAGATTATACATACTCCTCAGATATATGGTCACTTGGATGTATATTATTTGAAATGTGCACATTAAAAAGGGCTTTTGATGGTGATTAATTTGATTAAGTACTTAATAAAATACAGCAACGAAAATTGTAATAGGAAATACTGATTTAGGATTAGATTGATCCAACAATTTCTGATACAAGAACATATACTTCAGAATTAGTAAATTTAATTTAATCTCTTCTGAATGTAGATCCTTCAAAAAGACCCACTGCCAAAGAACTTTTAAGATCTTCTTATATAGCTAAAATTATGTTATAAAGTTTTGAAAAGAAAAGTGTTAAATAGAAGGATATTCAAAAAATAGGTTAAGTCACTATGATGTAAAAAAAAGCACATGAAAAATATTAAAAATAAATGAGTTATGTTAAGTAACTTTTAGGAAACTCATAAGATTCTATCAATGCATAATCTTAAGTTTGTGATACTATGTTTACAAAAAAATAAACAAGTATTTGAAACACTTTTATATAAATATTTCTTTAAATTGCAATCAATTTAATATAATGAGCCATAGAAGACTTTCTCAAAATTATTCTGAAAAACTTGATACATCTGGAGATGTTGGTTAACCAGAAATTCAAGAAATCTCATAATTATTTTTGAATTACTTAAAGACTTAATCCATCACTGAATCAGAATGCTTATCAAAATCTAAACAATTTTTGAAGAATTTATAAACTGCAATTATCATTTTCACTTTTTATGAGGCAATTACATTTTTTAGTTGTTTGACTGTATTTATTATCAGTCTAGAATTCAAATTAATTTATATTATAATAGGATTATTTTTCAAATTATTGACATTTATCTATCTAATATTTTAAGCAAATAAACAAATAAAGTATATTGGTTTAAAATCTACAATCACTAGAAAAATATTCTTATATTTATTAAAATAGAATAAATCTATTGATTTAGAAAATAGAGTAGAAATAAAATTAATGGATTTAAATATTGCTACAAAATTAACATTTAAGTAGATACTTAAGGAATTTATAAAATTACATATAAAATCAGTAATAAATGTCATAATTTTAACAATATTAATTTATGTGTTATATATAAGGTTCATTCTCTATGAATCTAATATTAATTCATATTTAATTTACTCTGAATTTTTATTAATTACATTACCTCTTACATTAACTATCATAACCTTAAACCTTATACTTTTATTCATCTTTATTAATTCCTTTATCAATCTTATTGACATAATAATTAGATTAATTATTAATATATGTATTTCATTTCCAAGAGTTATAAGATTTTTACTAATGATTTTCAAAATAAAAAAGGAAAATCATAATGTTTTAATGAAATATGTTCATCATTCATTTACACCAAAGGATATTTGTTCAATATGTCTATGTCCATTTTAAAAATAATGTATTTAGTTACCATGTAAACATTTCTTTCACATTAATTGTATTGAAAAATGGTTTTTTGCTAATAATTCATGTCCTATATGTAGAGCAAAAATTAATAATAATGATGATAATTAATAAAAATGAACCTTAATTGTAAAATATTATTTACTATATTAATTAATTTTAATTATAATTTTAATAATGTAAATAAAACATAATTAAAATTTTAAATGCTTATATTTGAATCAAAATACACTCAAATATTGATCTATTTATATTCATTCAATTAAACAATAACAATAAACAGGCATAATATAAATATTAGAATGAATAAAAATCAATTTTTATCGTAAAATTTGATTGGCTGATTTTTGCATCATTTGGATTTTTATCCCATATACAACCTCCACTTTTAAATTATATTAATTTCAATTCAAAATATACAAAAATGGCTGGAAAATCAGGAAAAGGAATAGGTAAAGTAAGTGCAAAGAGACATGCAAGAAAACCAAACAAAGCTTCAATTGAAGGAATCACAAAACCTGCTATCAGAAGATTAGCTAGAAGAGGAGGAGTCAAGAGAATTTCATCATTCCTTTATGATGACTCAAGAAATGTTTTAAAGAGTTTCTTAGAAAATGTTGTTAGAGATGCTATCACATACACTGAGCATGCTAGAAGAAAGACCGTCACTGTTATGGATGTTGTTTACTCATTAAAGAGATAAGGAAGAACACTCTATGGATTCGGTGCATGAGTTTTATTTTCATTCAGAATTAATTAATTCTATTCATATATCTTCTTATCTTTGGTGCCAATATTTTTATATCCATTTTTTAATCTAAATTATTAAAATAAAAAATGTATAAAATATTTTATCAATATTTATTGAGAAATTGAATATGTATATTTGATAATATGGATTTTAATTCTTTATTGAAATAATATATCAACTTTTTTATGATTGAATATTGAAACAAATCTTATATCATAAACAAATCAAAAAATCTTTTGATTATTATCCACTTACTTCAATATTCCAAAACTATATATTTATTAATATCAATTCTAATATATTAAAATTTATTTAATAGGATTTTATTTATTTTTATTTATAAAAATTTCCAAAAATTTATAATTGATATATCCATTAAATATTTATTTATCAAGATTGATTAACAGAATTAAATTAAAGATTATATTTTTCATTTAAATAAATCCTTTAAATAAAAATGTTGTTAAATTATCCTAATAATATTTGGGGAGATGTGAAAACAAGTTTTTTAGTTTTTAATATTTATATTAATTATCTTTATATAAATTATTAAGAGTAAATTTTAATCAAAAATTATATAATAGTAATAGAGACAAGTATATAATAAATAATTCTTATTTACAAAAGGAGTTAGGTAGATTTTATAATATTACTATTGAATAGTATTTAAATAAAAAAAGTATTATTTGGAAATATATTGCATGAAATTCGTGAAGAAAAAACAAAAAATTAATTTTTAATTAAATCTTTTTCAAAATGAAAACCCACATCGAAGTTTCAAGTTAAAGAAGAAAGGGCAGAAGAGCCTAATTAGGTGCACCATCAAACATTAGATATAAATTAATGAGCGCTCATCTTTCTAAAGATTTAAGAAAGAAATACAATGTTAGAGCATTGCCTGTTAGAAAGGATGATGAAGTCACTGTTGTTAGGGGTATAATTGTAAATTTGAGCATAGGCACACATAAGGGAACAAAGGGTAAAGTTTCATCAGTTTACAGAAAGAGATGGGTTATTCAAATTGAGAAACTCACCAGAACAAAAGCTAATGGTATATTAATAATTGTTATAGTAGGAATGCCATACTAAATCCCAATCAGACCATCATAATGCATTATCACAAAACCTTACCTTAATGAAGACAGAAAATAATTGTTAGCAAGAAAGGCATCAGCTAAAGTATCAACAAAAGGAAAGGGTGAAAAACATACAACTGAAAGCACTAAGAAAGCTGATTGATTTATTAAAATATAGAAGTACATTAGAAATATTCTTTTTTGTTTGTTTGCCACATATTTATTTATAAAAGTAATATATATTAATATTTCATTATTCATCATCTTCTAACTAAAATCCATTAAATTTTTTTAAATTTTCTAAATTAGGAAAGTGTTTCTCAAAGTTTTTAGCTAAATTTAAGATTTTTGCTGCAACTTCTACTAACTAATCTTAATCAACTTAAATAATTTAAGCAACATCTTTAATCTATTAATATAAATAAAATTATATACTTAATTATCAGCATTAAAAGTAGTTTCTAATTATTCAACTATTTTGAATGCAACAAATATTAAAGCAGCAGATAATAATGTATAATTATTCTTGCCACATATCTCATAATCATACAAAACCATTTTGGAAAGATACAAACATAATTTTTTTAAATATTTGTAATTTTTCTCAAGTAATTTAGATTCAATAAAACAATTTGTTAGAATTAGATTGTACATATCATAAAGTGTTCCACCAACTAAATCAAATCCAATAGTTTATAATATTTCACTTTCTCTTTTTTTTATTTAATCAGTTGTTAATTTTTTATGACCTATTTTTTCATAAACAACAGATAATTTCATAGGATGAATTTCTTCATATTTAGCAGCAATAAACATAGATGTGACACCACATAAATGTAAATCAGATATTTCTAATTATTTTTCATTTTTTGCAAAATAAAAATCTAAAGTTCTCACTGCTACAAAAAATGTTTAATCAGTGCATTTATAAGAACAAAGTACTTCTACCATCCAATCAATCATTTTAGCTCTTAAATTACTAGGAATTGTATGATTTTTTAGAAATTCTAATGGTGTTGATTTTTTCTAAATAATTTTTATTGTTAAATACTTCTTATTCTTTTAAATAGAAAAATATTTCATCTGTGTAAAACTTTTACAGATTTTTATTTTCTTGAATAGTGTGATCAAATTTTGGCTTAAATGTAATATTCTACAATTCTTGAGGTAGAGTATAGAGTTTGGTTGTAAGTCCTTTGTGTTGGGGTACATTTTCTTTATCTTCCAATACATCCTGATTCAAAGATCTCTTTACTCTTTCTTAATTAAGCATTTTCCTTCTTAAGTCATTGTTACTACTTAGCATTGACTTATTGATTTATTGAGTGTCTTTGTTTTATACTTAATGGATTTACCTTCATTATACAACATAGTTAGATTCTTTCTTACAGGGTCTCTGTTTTCTATATAGGTCTTAGTAATTCTTTTTAAAGGTTATTACTATTGATTTTCAGGAACTCCACTTAATGATCTGTTGTACTTAATTTCCATTATTTATTCGTTAAAATAATTAACGTCGCGCAAAATTAATTATAATATAAAATCCACAAAAATATATGAAATAAAAATATTAATAAAAATAATCCATTTTCACTTTATTTTATAAAATAAAATTTATAAGTTCATTCAATGAAATAAAACAATGGTTAAACTCCAAACAATGAAAACTTAAGAGTAGTTATAAGAGTTCGTCCACCTATGGCTAGAGAAATTCGTGATGGCAAATTCATTTCTACTGTTTAGGTTGCCCCAGATAATTTATAACTTTGCATATTTGATTATCATGCAATAGAACTTGTTCCTGATGAAGATTTAGAATAATATGTATCTAATCCATCTAATTATACTCTTCATTAATTTACATTTGATTATGTATATGATTAAGATAGTACATAAGAATAAGTATATAATACTACAGCAGCATTATCAGTAGATTCAACTTTGCAAGGATACAATTCAACTATAATTGCATATGGTTAAACTGGAACTGGAAAAACATATACAATGCATGGATTTAGTTTCAATCCTAATTCTGATTAATTAGGTATTATACCAAGATCTTTGCATAATATATTTAATCACATTCAAATGAAAAGTAATTCATCTACAACTTTTATGGTTCGAGCATCATATTTGTAAATATATAATGAAAACATTAATGATTTATTAAGAGATTCTCCAACATTGAATATAAGAGAAGATAAAAAGAGAGGAGTTTTTGTTGAAAATTTGTCAGAA